AAATCAAAGTGAACAACTGAAAAGTAGACAGATACCACACAATTACTTAAAACACAAGTAATAAATAAATAAACTTTAGCATTCTGATAATTGTTTAATTTTGAGGTCTAAGTTATAGGGGGGTCCAGTTCAATCAACACTGATCAATGTGTGTTATAGTAGTTTCAGAGAATTCCACTCCTCATCAATAACCATGAACACCAAAGAGAGATAAATCTGGACCTATATCATAATGAAAAGTATCAAACATACTGTTGGTGTGAACATACCTTGATTTCACAATGATGAAAACCTATACATCTTATGAATACCAGATCAGCATGTATAAGTGAATAGGATAATTTTTTATAGTTAAATCAGAAATAACACAACCTCATTTTTAATGTGATCTTAAGTCATAGACCTCGATGATCATATTGTATAGAGGCTTTATTTATTTGTTTGTTTAACACAAAGCCACACCGGGCTGAGGTCTGTAAGAGAAGTAGCCCAGAGAAGAAAAGGGGTATGGGCATCCAAGAAGGGTGAGTCAAACCAATAGCAAACCCCATGAAAGACCAGGGGGTGTAAAGACCATTCCGTTGATAGAATGTAGACTGGCCAATAGAGAGGAAGATCACCACCAAGATGTAAACACCCAATAAATGACATACAAGAATACTAGTCAGATGAGAATGGATTCAGAAGTGTATGTAGCATTCCTAAAAATATAAGGCCCTGGAACAGGAAACTCACGGATGGATGGGACAAGAAACGACAGTGGAATAGACTGAGTGGAAGATGACCAAGTGAGAAGGTCAGGTACTGTGATGCAGAGTGGGCATCAGAAGTCTTCCCCACATTTAGAAATGTACCTCAATCAGAAGAGGGGGACCAAAGAAGGGAGAGATCTGGATTAAGAGATGGTAAGGGAAAGCAGAAAGAAGCATGAACATGGTCCAGTCAACATGATAATTCCTTGAGGAGAGGCTCACAAAAGAAGACATGAATGCATGCCCCAGAGGAAGCCAGAGGCTCCAAATGCAAAATAACTTCTTGCGCAGGTGAAGAATAGAAGGCTGAATGAGCTCCATTGAGATAAGAGAGGAAGAAAATGCACAGAAGTACCAAAAATTAAGTGGGCTTGAGAAAGGAATGAGATTGCAGGATAAGTCCCACCCCCCTCCAATTGAATATATAATAGCACCTTTTGCAGAAGGATACTTGTATAGCATTATTATTAAATAATACACAGTCAAAAGACATAACATTTCAAAGAAGGAAACCATTAGTATTCTATATGAGAATGGAAAGACTTGTACAACAGAACATTTATGATAGCCACATGCTCTGAAACCACACCGCAAAATCGTCTGAAGCAATGTCCTCATCTACAAAATGAAGGCTATGGTTATGAAAGTGAATGTCCTTCAATCCACAAAGTCACTGCAACAAAGTTAGGTATATAACCCATTAGGTTTAATAACATAATAAAGATAGATTTGAGGATGACAGACAAGCCACAAGTTCAAAAGCTTCATGCCACACTTAAAAAATCATGTCGATAAGTATATGAAGAAGATAGCCAAAAGAAAGTGGAATAGCATCAATCACATTTGACTACATACCCAAACCAGATACAACAAACCTATGCTCCATTAGTTAACTTAAATGTAGTTTTGGAAGCTTGCATTTATGTACAGTTAAAAATTAGTCAAGATGTGTGTTCCAAGATGCATGGTTGTCTTTTGCTGAAACTTGTTTTTAATAGAAATTATGGAGCCAAGTAACAATGCATAATCATGGATCAAACTGAACACAATCAAGTATGAAGGAAATATTTCCAAAGGCATCAATAGCAATGTCCAATAAAAGTTAACTTTCTAGCTTTGCTAAGTGTGCTCAGTGGATGTGTTGAATATAATGGTTATGATCATTGTGTTCAATACATGGACTGAGCATTTCTCAACTGCTAAATAGCCATTCTAGTAGTAGTTTTGAACAAACTGTTACTGAATTCAGTAAGTTAATTAATCACAATGAATTCAGTAAGTTAATTAA